CATCTTTAACTTCTAGCTAAGCAGGCAGATGGAACCTCGGTTTAATGTCTCATCCAAAGTACATGCCTCCAACAATGCAGCACACCCCCGGCACTGCATTGGAGTGCCAGCCTCGACGATCCCAATTTGGTACCTGACCCCACAACCTTCTGACTCAGAGGCGAGAGTGGTACTAACTGAGCCGAGCTGACACCGAGAAATTTATAAGCAATTTAGGAAGACTTGCAAGAATAACAAGTTTTGGCCATAAGGTTCGCTGACTTTAGTTATTTGAGGATAGACTGCAAAAAAGAGTGTGGGTTGGAATGTAGAGGTCTTTTAGAATATGTTGAAGATCATTTCTTAGAACAAAAAAAATGCAGTGCTTGATTTGTTGCCGGCCAGGGGCTGTCTTGAAGGTAGGAAACAGTTAATGTATAAGCCCAAGTCTCATGTCAGTTGCATGAAAACCATTTGAGGTCATAATATGGGATGTCGATGTTGAGCATTTTAAAAAGATGAGACTGATAAGGGATACCCAACACGGTTTGTAAAGGGAAGACTGAGGTTAGCTGATTTGATTGTTTTATTTGAAGTAACTACAAATGTGGATAAGGGAGATACAGTAGATGAGTTTTGATTTGCTTTTAAGGTGTTCAATAAGGGTACACATAAAAGATTTGCTGCTAAAAATTAAGGCACATGGAAAAGTTCAAAAATTGATTGAAGAACAGTTAAAAGTCAGGCGACAGAAATTGGGAATTAAGGGATGTTTCTCTAAATGACGGGATCTCTCTTGTTCTCTCCATATATAAATATATCAATGATCAGGTTGCAGGAGTTTAGATGATGCAGTGAGGAAGAGGAAGAGACATTGACAAGATTAGTGGAATGGACAGATTGGTAGTGAATGGAGCTCAATATAGAAAAATATGCTGAATTCTGTGAGAAAGAATAGGGAGTGGAGTTATACCCTGCACGGTGGAATTCTCAATGGAGCAACAGAGAGATCTTGGGATGTAAACACATCTATCATTTAAATGTGGGATTGAAGTCGAGTTGGCTATTAAAAAGGCAAAAAGAGGGTAAGCAAAGAAAGGGTATTGGAGTACCGGAAAAGAGAAAGGCTTTTTGGAGGACCAAACACTAATATGAAAAACAGCCAAAAAATAGCCTGCTGTGTGGTATATTTCCATGGTTCTATGAGCAAAGGATGTTGAGTTTAAACAAAAAATGTATTTGGGTTTAAAGCTCAGTTAAAGCTACTTACTCTATCATTGCATTAAAAATGAGCTGTTCCCCTCAGATTCTACATTCAAATATTTCTCTGGCCACTAAAAGAATTCCAACATTTTACTTACTAATCACACAACTTCAAGATTGTTCAATTAATAAACTTCATTTCTGTTCAAGGTCACAGCTCCCTCTGCTGGATATTCACATGTACTATGTTCTGCTGTAGCTGAATGGAGTTTCACATAACATTGGATTACCATAACAACAAAATTACATTTGTATAGCGCCTTTCACGTCGGAAGGACGTCCCATGGTGCTGGACAGACAGAGTTACGGACCCAAGCTGAGGGTCGGGGTGGGGGAGGGTGGAGGGCAGGGAGATCGAAAGCACAGTCGAAGAGGAGGGTCTTGAGGTAGGTCTTGAAGGTGGCGAGGGGGTGAGACGGAGGGACTGTGGGATGGAGTTCCAGAGGGTGGGTGCAGAGTGGCGAAAGGCCCACCTGCCGATAGTGGGGTGAGAAAGGGGGGGATGTGAAGCAGGCCGGAGCCTGCTGAGCGGAGGGAGCAGACAGGGTGGTAGGGGGTTAGGAGGTCGGAGAGGTAGTGGAGAGCAAGACCGTGGAGGGCTTTGCAGGTGAGGACCAGGATCTTGAACTGTATCCTCTGTGTGATGGGAAGCCAGTGGAGTTGGGCGAGGATGGGGGTAATAGGTTCGCGGATGCTAGTGCGGGAGAGGCCATAGGCTGCAGAGCTCTGGATGATCTGAAGCCTGTGGAGGGAGGAGTTGTGGAGGCCGACAAGCAGTGAGTTTGCATAGTCGAGCCTCGATGTAATGAAGGCGTGTATGAGGGTTTCGGCCGCCTGCAGTGTGAGACAGACTATAAATATCATTTTAGTTGGAACACCCTTATCTCTGGATCAAATGACAATGGGTTAAAGCCCCGTATTGGAACTTGACCCAGTTGTCCAGGCTGATACTCCAGGGTGGTACTGCAAGTGTGCTGTCCTGGAGGTGTGCGATCCTTCAGATGAAACTCGGCTTAGGTGGACATCAAAGATCCCACATCATCATTTGAAGAGAAGTTTCTCCCAAGTGTCCTGGCCAAAAATCCCCAAGATAAATTGGTGACTCATTTCATGGCTGTTTGAGGGACTTTGTTGACTCCAATTTGACTGCTGCCTTTTCTGTAGCTAGTCACTACCCCTGACGAGCAATTTTGTGTGAAATGTTTTCGGATGTTTCGACTTCTAGGCATTATATCAAATATAACAAATTTAACAAAATTATACATTTCATGAATAAGGTAGAACACAAACAATGAAATATTCCTCAGTCTGCTCACTTAAGAGGGACATGGGTTTGAGCAGTCCCTATCCAGTTCCAAGTGTGTGTTGGCTCGTGGAACAAAGTTGCTCTTAACTTAATACCACTCACCCGAGAGAAATGAGGATTGCTGACGTGGAGAAAAGAAAATATTACATTGGTGTGGGAGGGATAGCCCTGTTGAACTGGGGCTGAGGCAAATTATTGGAACAGGTGAGGAGCTTCGCTCTGCATCTTATTCTATACCTGATCTGAGAGCTCTTGATTGAGTTCGGGATGGGGAAGAGAAGAGAATTCTGCTAATCAAATTCCTGTCTGTGCTGGCGTTCACATGTCAGATCAAAATCCCATTGCAAATTGTTAAATTTGTTATATTTGATATAATGCCTAGAAGTCGAAACATCCCCTGGAGAGGTCAGATTATTAACCAACAGAAATGTGCATCTCTGATACCTAAAATGAGAAAGTGTCCATATGCCAGCACTGATGTATCTCAATGTAATGATCAACATAAAATTCCAACCAAATATCTTAAAAGTTGTCTGAATAATGATCCCTTTAAAACCTGTTAAGTGCTGGTGCATTCTTGCACAACTGGACGTTTATGGCAATTGCACTGAATTCACATTTATTCAGCAAAAGTGTGAACATAAATAGTTCTGTTCTGTTCACAATTGGCTGCCACGTTTCATCCACAAAATATGCAGTCAATTCACTTTACAATATATTCTGTGAAGCACTTTGAGATGTCTCGAAGATGTGATAAGTCGCTATATCAAATGCAAGGATTATTATTATTATGATAGTTCCTAAAATAAATGGGAGTTTTCTTCCCTTATAATTTTTATGAATGATGAAAGTGACTTCCTGCAGGACAACCAAGACAAACTGCCTATCTCACTCACAGACAATGGTATCCACTGTGAATTTTCACCACTTCCATTACTGTCAATGGCTGTCACTGCAGGGTTACATTTGTACAATTCATGAAGCCCACCAGACAAGATACTCAATACTTTGTCACTGTCAGTAACAATTCCACTCATCACAGGAATACGGAATTGCACATCACCAAGAAATATTCTCTTTGTGGATTTTACACGGTGGATCATTCAATCCTCTTCAACCGCCTTTCCTCCCACCTCAACCTCCAAGGTTTTGTCCTTGACTGGTTCAGGTCCTACCTTTCATACCGCCTCCACTTCGTCTCAGCTAACGGCTTCTCCTCCAGTCCCCGTTCCGTCTCTAGCGGTGTTCCTTAGGGCTGTCCTCGGTCCCCTCCTCTTCACCCTCTACATGCTCCCCCTTAGTGACATCATCCGCAGACATGGGGTAAATTTCCACATGTATGCGGATGACATCCAACTCTATCTCTCTGCCTCCACCCTCAACTCCAGGACTACTGGCGTCCTGACCAACTGCCTGTCCGACATCAAGTCCTGGACGAGGGACAACTTTCTCCAGCTGAACGTCAGCAAGACCGAGGCCCTCCTGATTGGCTCGCGACAACGCCTCCGCACCTCGGGTGAAGGCAGCATCAGTATCCACGGCTGTACACTCAACCTCACTAAGCCAGTCAGGAACCTGAATGTCTTGTTTGACCCTGAACTGTCCTTTCCCCCCACATCCGCCCCATGATTGGCACTGTCTACCACCACCTCCGCAACATTGCTAGATTCTGCCACTGCCTCACCCCTCAGGCTGCCGAAACCCTCACCCACGCATTTGTCACATCAAGGCTCGATTATGGAAATTCCCTCATCGGCCTTCCCAACTCTTCCCTTCACAAGCTGCAGATCATCCAAAACTCTGCAGTTTGTGTACTCTCGCGCACCAGGCTCCATGACCTCATCACTCGCCCGACTCCATTGGCTCGCCATCCCTCAGAGGATCGAATTCAAGATCCTTGTCCTCACTTTCAAGGCCATCCATGGCCTTGGCCCTTCCTACTTCTCTGAGCTGCTGACTCCCTACCAACCTGCCCACTCCATCCATTCAGCGAGCTCCGGCCTGCTCCATGTTTCCCGCCCGACCCGCCCTACCATCGGTGGCCGGGCTTTCAGCCTCTCTACCCCCACACTCTGGAATTCCATCCTATGGTCCCTTCGCCTCACTTCCTCCCTTGCCTCATTCAAGGCCGGTCTCAAGACCCTCCTCTTCGATCATCCCTTCGGTCGCCCTCCCACCTCTCTGCCTTCCCTCACCCCTACCCCACCCCTCTCCCGTACTTGGGTCCTGTCCTCTGACTGTCCAGCACCTTGCGACGTTCTCCCGATGTGAAAGGCACTCTATAAATGTAATTTTGTTGTTGCTACAACATTTATAATAATAATCATCGAATATATCGGTTGAATTATCACTTATCAAATATATCTGTTAAATTGTCAATTTGATTACAAGTGAAATACCGAATTCAATTCAAAATTGCCATAAGCTCACATTGCAGTCTTGTAGTACTGACCTTGGTAACTTCACAATTTGAAGTAGGATCTTTGTCCGAGGCTTTCAACTTTGTCAAGTTGCCCACAGCGTACGATGTTGCATCACACAACGCTTCATAGGGACACTCCTCGTCTGATTGGGTTTCAAATTCTGTGATGAGTTTGGTTAGCTCCATTTGCTCCTCACCTTCAATTCAGGGAAAATATAAAATATAAATCTAATCCATTTTAATGGAAATGTACCAAAATAACAACGTGGCGCTCTCAAGGTGAACCTTAAACCGAGCCTTAGAAAAGCTACCTAACAGCGATTGTATGTGCGCTCATTAATGTAAGACATCCTCAAACCCTGCTACACATAACATGTAGCATTCACTATACCCCACAAGGGACGGTGCCATTTGGAGAGAACGAGTGACCCAAAGGAAGAGAAAATCTAGAACAAGAGTTCTAAAAGCAGCGAGGCACCCTATTGTTCTATTCAAATATAATTGTGTAATAATGAGCTTCCCAATCATCCAGTTAGTAAGAAAATAAGGCAACGAGCATCCTTGAGGCTTACCAAACATAAAGGTATTATTTTTCAATAATATATTTCATTGACTTCTTCAAATACATGAAATGAAGAACCACAGGATAAGAAGTTTAAACAGTAAACCATCTTTACCTTTGGGGTTTTGATTAATTGGCTCAGAAGTAGGAAATGGAGACATTCTTTGTGCCTGAAGAGTTTTTTCAGTGTTCTTTCCTGCCATATGATCTAGAAAGAGAACAGAAAAAAAACAAGAGAACCAACTTTGATAAAGCAATGTGAAATAATTGCTATAATAATAATAAACCATGCATTTGATATAGCACCTTATCATGTTGTTGAGACATCTCAAAGCGCTTCACAGTAAAATGATTTGACTGTGTATTTTGTGGGCAAAACTGGCATGCTGCACCTCAGATAGACTTGTCCCTGGTCAAAGGCCAATGGTTAATATCCACCCCAGCATTATCTACCTCAACGTTATGAGATTCTACTTTGAGGTTAAAATAGTCCTGTGGTTTTAAAATATGTAACCAGATCAATAAAGCTTAGATAATAAGGATTATGATTATGATGAATATTATTATTATTATTATATAATGAACACGGTAAAGGCCAGGGAACAGGTCGTCTACTGATTAACAGATAGGAGTCCTTGAGAGACCAAGATTTCAAGTCAGGATAGTTTTTTTTTAAATTAATGAAGGTGCTGGGACAATACATTAATCATCTTACATCAAAAGTTTTTTTTTCAAACCTTGAATAAGAGTTGCAATCTCTTTACTCTTCTGAGATGGATGTTCCTGCACGATTTCTAATGCAGTCTTCCCATGGATCTCTTTAATATCAACGTTGATTGCTAACAAAAGAGCAGCATTCACATTTAATCAATAGTTCAGGAACGTTCCAATCTAAACAATAAACCAATGTTACCCATCTGAGTGGTAAACTAGACAATGAGTCACAAACTATGGCAAGCCACACAACCCACATAGGCACAGCACCCAGAAGAATCAAAGTGCATCCTGGCGAAATGGGAGAGAAAAAGGGAGGAGGGCGGGAGGGTGGCTGGAGGAAGGAGGATAGTTTGAACAAGAATAACAAAATAATTTGGCAGCAGTTATTTACAACAACATGCTTCCACAAAATCTATATTTAGGGCTTGCTCAGAATTTTAGTCTTGTTTCTTAATCAAAAGGGAAAAGCGAACCTAGGCAGCTGTATTGTATTTCTCTGAATTTGAAGAGGAAGAAGTCAGAAGTTTTCGTTCCTAATCAAAACCACCTCAATGGTATGGTCTTCAAGAGACCCTCTTATTTCCCTCCCCAGGTCCTGCCATACAAACATCATGGATTCACACAGATTTGAGAACAGCTTCAATCACTTCAATTCAGACAGATGCAATGAAGCAATGTAGGAGCAGATCCAAAGTTGTGCACCCCCATAAACCCTTCCTATGAGAGCGGCAGCAGCTTCCAGCCAGGTTTTTTTTCAGGGCTGGGTAATCCTGGCTCAGCTCCCAGGTTAATGCATCCTACCAAATCACTTTTTTGAAGTCCAGTTATAACTTACAATGGAACGACTGATTGCATTGCAATTTTTTGTAAATCTGCCCACTATGTTTGTACACAAAATTAAACGGCACAAAATGGACTGTAGTTTTGTATTAATACACAAAACTTACCAGAGGCCAGAAGTATTTGGACCACATCTGTCTTTCCAAACAAGGCAGCCTCGTGCAGGGCACTACCCTTCTCTGTCTGAGGGAAGAAGAATTTTCATTTTAAAAGACAATAATTACTCGTACTGTAGAACAAGTTGCCAAATGTTTCAGTCAAATTTGTAAAATTTGCACTTGATTAGTGTCTTATGTCAAAATGTCTCAACATTCCACACAATTAGTTACTTGAAGTGTATTAATTGGCATAATTAAGTCAAACACAGCAGCTAATCCACAGAAGCAAATTTCACAAAAGTTATGAGATGGATGATCACCAGGTACCTGGTAGTTAATGTCCATTCCGGATTCCAGAAGGATCTGCACGACTGCTTTTTGCCCATTTCTTGCTGCCAAGTGAAGTGGTGTGTGTTTCTTGGTGTTACAGCTCAGCAGGTTTGGATGGGCATTTAATAGCATTTTCACTACCTCCAACCTCCCATAGTGAGCAGCCAGGTCCAGCGGAGTCTCAAATTTGTTGTTTCTCATTGTAGGATCTGTGAGCTCTTCAAGAAGAACTTTGACAACATCTGAATGACCATACTGTGCTGCACAGTGCAAGGCAGTCTCATTGTCATTGTTCTGTTACAAGAGGGAAGATGATAGAAATACACAAAAATATTAAAACCGCTCGTTATTCACCAGAACAAACTAATTAGTGCTTTCACATTACAGTGTAAAGATTGGCCTTGAATTAGCATAATACAATGATCAAAACACAACCGTGGTTTTGTGAGGTGCCATATACCTTGACATATCAAACGTCAGTAAGTTCTCTAATTTTTGTAGTTTAGCATTTGGGGGAAATGGATTTAATTTGTGTTAATTTGTGATTGAGGATAATAGTTAATCAGTTCTCACAAAGCAAAACACTTTTCTAACACTGAATGCAGGCAAAATGTGGGTCTCTTAACTGCCCGGCTAGCAATTTCTCTGAAAATGAGACTATAGGGCTAGCCTCGATAGTGTAATGGATAAGGATGCAGTTTATCAACCAGGAGCTTGCTGATCAAATCCTGCTCTGCGCTGAGTATGTCAGTCTCACCGTCACAGAGGAGGGGATAACCAGCTGTGGTTCCAGCTCTTGGTCAGTACCCTCTACTGGTTGAGCACACGTGTGGCAGCTCGGTGAGGTGAGGTCAGGCTCAGCCGTGACAGTCCATCAACACTCACTGTCAAGGCTCACAAATAAATAATGGTAATTTCAGTGGAGACCCGGAGAGCAAAAAAAAATTGACTCACTAAATTTAAAAATAAAAAAAAGCACAATTACCATATCTGTGGAAGCAAACTTTCATCCATCAAAGTGAAAGACTAAACATATATTTTCAATGCAGTTCAGCACACATAAGTGCCACTTCATATAAACGGAAACAAAGAACAAGCATGGGGGTGGGGGGGGAGAAGCAGATTACAATGCACACAAATAAAAGACTGAAAAAGACAACATTTTACAACACATATTGCAGTAGTTCAAAAATATACCGATTTCTACACACAATTGCAACGTATAACAGCAAGATTAATACTGTGTGATAATTACAGACTATATTTTTGGATTTGGGGCGGATATTTGTGCAAATTCAGAAAATGTACATGAATTTTTAAAAGCAGAGCTAATTCTCACATTCTGAAAAGCAACAAATGCAGTGAATTTTACAATAAATTCAGAAAAGTGAAAGAATTTGCAAAGTTTTACAGGCAACAGAAAAATTAAATGAAAACAGAGTAGCTACTTAAATCAATAAAAAGTGAATGCAACTATTATCCAAGACACAAGTTTGGGTGGTTCCTATTTGTAAGGAGATTAGCAAGAAATCCTACATGTAAAGGTTTATCCCAAAACATGTATCAGATGCAGAAAAGATGCACTTTTTTTCAGGTTTGTTTTATAGTTGTCTTTAGTCATGAATCTAGATGGTCCAGAGAATGGATAATGATTGCTCATTTCAATTCATGGAGCCTGTGAGGAACCTGTCTTATTTCGATCCTCAACTCTCCTTTTCCTTTCATCTGGGCTCTGACCACTTTCCTCTTTACAACATTGACAGCCTCTGTCAATATTTTATCTTCCCCCCCACCCCCTCAACATCTACGTATGTGAAACCGTCATTCACGCCCCACCCTATCTCTCCTTTGAAAATGTACCCATAAACAAAACTTTAAACTGGACCTTCAGCCACTTCCCTTCTACCACCCAGCACGGACTCTCACTCAGTCTTTATAAAGCACTTGACATTCTCACAATGTGAAAAGCACTACATAAATGTATAATTTGTTATCTCTTGTGCAATGCATTGTTCAGGACAGGCAAGTGCCATCTACAACTAATTTGCTTTCATTTATGCAGTATCAGTTCAGAATCAGTATTTTGGTCCAATTCATTCTCAGCATCCACTTCTCTGTAGATCTGAATAATCATAAAGAGTACTATCATCCCTAAACCTCAATTTGCACGTGTGATAAAACAAATGGCTTTCAAATGAGAGAATTTTTGCTGCACAATTTATATTCCCATTTAATGTTCAAGTCATGGATAGAGAGGGACATGAAATAGTGTGAAAAAGCCATATAGAACAATTGACAATGCAGACAAATAATATACAAACATGAAGCAAGGTATACAGACATAAAAGAGACAAACCGTTCAAAGTGACAATCAACAACAGATTGTAAAAANTTAAACAGAACTAAAAATACAAGATCACAATCAATGCTCAACTCTCAACAAGGAAATTCCTCCTGCCAAACCATTACTCTCAAAATGCCACCATCTGCACGATTACTGTATTCCTAGAGCATGCCATGTGACATTCCCCATCAGTCCAGGTTTCCTATCAGTCTATAAAGTTTCATATGAAGCACACTTTTCAGAATTCATTCTTGTTATGCAATGTTCCACGCAGTCCATAAACGTTACCTATCCACCAAATATCCTATTGATTCCCAATGATTTTGTTTTGTTCAGCCGGGTGTCTTACATACGTGGAAACCCATCACGATGCTTAAGAGTATCCAAACCAAGCTGAGATTTCCACGCATCTCACCTATATATGGAAATCCCAGCGATAGATTGATGGAACGCGCACTCTCTCCCTGGAGGGCCGCATTCTGCTTACCTAATTCCGGAAAGTATTAGGCACAGGTTGGCAAGTGCCATGTTAGTGAGTCAATTTAACGATGCTGTATTTGTGAAATATCCAAAAAATTGTGTGTGACCAACACAAGAGTTTGAAGAATAAATACAAATGGAAACTCTCTGTTAAGGTCTGCAAACAGTCAAGACATTATGACCACATTAGCAGGTTGATCTGACTGGGGGAGCGAAAAGCTGAAGGCCTGACCACCAATGACTGGTTAGTTTCATTTCAAGTCAGAACAAATTTATAACAATAACACACACTTTTAAAGCCCTCCATGGACTTGCACCTCCTTATCTCTGCATCCTATCAACACCACTTCAAACTGTCTGCTCCCTCCACTAAGCAGGCACTGGTGGTTAGGCCTTCAGCTTTTTGCTCCCCCACCCACTGGAACTCCAACCAGATTCTCTCCGCCTCATCCCCTCCGCCCAGTTCAAGACTTTCCTCTTTGATCAATTTTTGGCCACCCTCTCATCCCCCCCCACACCCTCCACCCTTCTTGATTCCAACCCCCAACTTGGGTGCAAACCCATAACCGTCTAGCGCATTGGGGTGTTCTTCACTTCATAAATGGAATTTTGTTGTTGTTGCATTTGATATAGCATCCTTTCACATCAGGACATCTTAAAGCACTTCTCAGGATTTACTGTAAAATGTAGTGGCTGTATTTTGTATTTCTAAAGAGGGTGACATGGCAATTTTCCACACAGACATGGAGTGAATGACCAAATTTACCTGGAGGATTGTCCTGCTAGGACACTGTGAGAAACTCCCTTCTTTTGTCCAGTAGTCCCGTGGGATCTTTAATGTCCACCTGAACAGGCTCATGCGAATGACAGTACCTCCAACAGAAGTACATATTTGTACTTAAAGTTTATGTGGGACATTGTTGTGCACTTTGCCCACAAAATACAGTTATTACACTTTACAGCATATTCTGAGAGACACTTTGAGACGTCTCAACGACATGATAAATCGCTATATCAAATGCAAAGATTATTACTATTGTTATTTGCCGGAGCAGAAAATAGAGATTCGAAAACTAGGTGGAACCGAGATTGAGATGTCAGTCCTAAGGGCAACAATATTGACAGTTGATACTTCTCACAGGACAGACAATCAACAAGTACTGTTGTGGAAATCAGCAGTCTTTATTGTATAATAAAAATCCCACCAATGTCACCACTGAATGCGTCTTGCCAAATCATGGATCCTAAATGGTATGGCAGCACTTTATGGGTACTACATGGCACTATTCTCCGCTGACTTCTCTCTCCTCTCATCTCCCAATGTCTCCCTCCACATCACTCCGCCACCAACACCCATGGCCACCCTTTTGACCTGGTGATTACCCCCACGGGGCCTCAGCCTCTCAGACTTCACCATCACTGACAAAGCCATCTCGGACCATTACTTCATCTCCCTTAATTCCTAAATCCCTCTTCCCCACTTCCATCACTTACCGCCCCTGGGAAAAAAATCTCCCCACCACCCCTCTCCGCTACATTCATCTGAACTTCTCTCCCTCTGGGCTTCCTCCCGCAATGACCTGTCCTCCTCGGTCACACTCCTCCACAATACCCTCTCCACCATTCTCGACGCACTTCCCAAACTCCTCTCACTTCGCGAACTGTCTCCTACTCACGGAAGTCACCTTGGTACACCAGCCACGTCTACTCCTTTAAGGATCAGGTGCATGCCACTGAACGTATCTGGCTCAAATCCAACTTAACAGTCCATCGACAGATCTGGTTGGACCTTATCAAATCTTACCACTCCGTTCTCACCTCTGCTAAATCGTCATTCTACTCCAAGATAATCTTGAAGGCCAAGGACAACGCCAGGCTTCTCTTCTCCATCACCAACCGGCTTCTCTGCCTACCCTCTTCTCCAACGCCAATTGTGAGGAGTTGCTGGACTTCCTCGAAACCAAAGTCGAGGGGATCCGCTCAGCTGCCTCTGTCCTTCCAACCACTAACCCCTCACACCCCAACCCCCTCACTCCCTCCACACCTTCGAACCTGTCACCATCACTGACAAGGCCATCTCTGATCACCATTTCATCTCCCTCAACTCCCATATCCCTCTCCCCGCTGCCTCCAAACCTACCACCATCTTCTACCGCCCATGGAAGATCTCCCCGCAATCCCTCTCTGCTGCCCTGGAGTCCTCTGATCTCCTCCCCGTCTGGCCCACCTCTCTCAACAATCCATTCACTGCACTCACTCTTCTCCACAGCACCCTCTCCACCATACTCAACGTCCTTGCCCCCCTCACCTCCCGAATTGCCTCCTATTCTCGATCCTCACCCTGGTTCACCAGCCACCGTTGCTTGCTTAAGGGCCAGGTGCGGTCTGCCGAATGAACTTGGTTCAAATCCGGCCTAACAGTCCACCGCCATATCAGGCTGGACCTGATCAAGAACTACCACTCCACCCT